AAAAGTGATAACCAACATAGTGCGCATGGCCTCCAGTGTTGATTATTCTCCAAATGATAAACTATCTCTGAGTTCTTACCTTTTTTGGTTCTTTTTCTCTTCTTTTTTTCTGCTTTTTTGGCTTTTGGTTGAGGAGCAGGCTGTAAAAAAGAAACAAAAAGAAAATCTCTCATTATTATCACTCTCAGAATTACTACAACATGTACTGTATGTGCTTACTTGACGATAACACAAAAGTCTAAGACCAAACTTACTTGTGGTAAGCAAAGCCTTGCAACATTAATTTTCTTTCACAGCCATTGCAATTAATTTCAAATGCTTATACTTACTCTCCCTGAAGACTTTGGTAACATGAGAAATTCCATAACTTTTTCTAGAAGATCATTCTGAAAAACGATTAAAGTACAATAACAACCTGTTAAAATACATTGCATTATTGTTCATACATGTATTTTACTTTTCAGAGAACATTTCTCCAACTACTTTTTAAAGTGTAATGCAGCTCAGTGGAATTTTTTTCCACTAATTTTTACAAAATGTTATTAACTTTACTCTTACCCTAATTCCTTTTTTTTCTAAATCAAAGATCTCACAAAGTCTTTTAAGTCCATCATTAGTAAATCTATGAAAAAGTAACCACACAATATTAATAGATTAAATGAATATAAAAGCTTGGAATTAGAGTATGATAATACTGTGTCCTCCCTTGGTATTTTCGGCTAGGCAGGCCGCCTGGCTTAGTTCATGGGAAAATTGGTGACGCCTGGCTTAAAAACCAAAGATTTAACCCAACAAAAGCTTATGTTTGTTGACATCTAGAACCAGGCATAATTTCAAAGTTAAAATCACTCAAGAAAGCTGTTGAAACATTCATTGTCTGGTGTTTTTATTTGTGAGTTTTCTCGCAATGAATTGATTATAAAAGTGATTTATTGTTGGATGAACATGTTCAAATCTGTGTTTTAACTGAAAGGCAGCCATCTTGAAATTATCCCAGAAACACAAGTGCCCATCAAGCAGCTTACTGTGTAGTACTAAATGAAGTTCATTTGCTCGCTTTTTAAGGAGCATCAAAATAGAGAACTTGGTCAACCCAAGATGTGAAGAACAAAAATAAAGCTTGTCAAAGAGTCTTTTAAGAACTGATTATACATGTATTTCGCTGTCTCGGTTATTATTCAGGCTTTATACAAACACTGTGAAAATCAGTCACAACACTCCCTGGCCGTCCCAAAATCCTCGGGAGAACACTGCAATACTGGTCTTACCAATTACCAGTAATTAAAAAGACACAGTCAGCTGATGCACATGTGCATTAGATACCATTTCTCAGCATTTTGCGTAATAACAAGACAAAAACTTAACAGAAAGTCCTGAACACATCCTGAATATCTAAACAAACCTTGTGGAGTTGAACTAATTGCAAGTCAAAATCGTCATAACAGAGCACTCATTTTTTATATACAATTAGAATTTACCGATGGCCTTCTTAATCTGGAGGTGAGAAATGACACAAAGTCTGAATCATTGTCAAAAGTTCCAGGTCAAGAAAGCTTGATTTTCCAAATACATGTTATCTTTCTCTAAATATATATAATGATGATTTGCTCTGCAACATTACTGACTCATTTCTTTTGCTATTTTGGTCAATGCAGGTGACTTCTCCCGTACTGACATTTGAAAAATACAATGTTAATGGCATGTACCTAAAGAGCTTATTCAAGGTCAACAGACAAAACAATCTTACCTATCCAAGCCTTGTTTTTTGGATTCATACTCTTTAGTATCCTATCACAAATAAAGAGAAATCTTTCAGTATCCTAATGGGGAAAAAAGGAAATGAATTCCCTTGAATTATGTCACATCAAACTCAAAACATTATTTTTATGTACAGTGTAATAATAAATTGTCATTACCATTACCTTTTCAAATGCAAACCCATTAAACTTCCTGATGTTCTTTTTAATTTCCATTACCTAGAGATAAGGAAACGGTTTTTTTATCCCTCAAAGATAAAAGTTTTTCTCAAAGTTTTAATTTACACCAAACTTACTTCAAATTTTGACATTTAAATTATCTACAAGTTATATTCCCCTCTCCATGCATAATGTTGTATATAGTTTATAAATAATATTGGGACTGTAATATAGCATATTTTATTTTCACTTATTTTCTCGAAGATATTAGCTCTACAGCTACTCCATAAATTTCAAGCATAAATAAAGTATATGTATGTATGTATGTAGGTATGTAAATCTAACATTCATAGAGAAAAATGCCAGTCGAAAACATAATACACTGTATCATCAACATTTATTAATTGCCTTGGTGAAGTTTTTGCAAATGGCTTTGCAACATAAGCACACTGATACATGTAACAATACTACTACTCTTGCTCTTAACCCACCAATCATTAATTTACATTTTAACTCCATTATTATCGTCTAAATCTTCTTTTTTTCTAGATTTCCAAAAGATGTTACAAAATAGAAATTTGTGAACATGTGCATGGACCAAAAAAGTGCCAACAAAATTTACTAAACCCACAGAAAGTTGATCATAAAACCAAAAATCACTTATAGGCCTGAAAATAGTGACTAATGTATATTTAGAAAGCACAAATGTCCAACCAGGTATCCATTTTATGTAGTGAAAAAAAAGAAGAAGAAAAGAACAGTTGTAGGGTGTATGCCTGTCCTCTAAGAAAAATATGGGAGCCAAGTGCTCTGAACCTGTGAAATTCAAGCAGCAAGGAATACACCAGGGCCCACCAGGTGCTGCTAGGGCACAGCACAGCAAAGTTCACCATTTCTTGACCTTTAATTATTTCTTTAGGTTTATGCAGATGTATAGAGAAACAAAGTGATGGCATCACAAAAACTAAATTTGTCAAATTATGGCATAGGTTGGCATATCTAGGAAGACGTCCACTAAAAATCAGCCTGTTAATGCAAATTGGTTGGGGAGAGATAAGCACCACTATTTTCTGATGACTTCATATAAATCCTTTTACAATAGGCCTACATCGTAAGCATTAACAGGCTGATTTTAACCAAGTGGACATTTTTCATCTTGTTCTTTCTGAATATGCCAACCTATCCCATAATTTCACAGAGTTTAATTTATGGGACGTCAGACTTCTCTATTTTATCTGTCTGATCATCACGGCTTGTCCAATGATGGATTGTTCTTTGGAGCTGTGATTTGTGTGGTCTACATACCCTTCCCTCTCTTCCATATAAAAGTTTGTGGAGAGGTTTCAGTTCTACAGCAGCACATTTTCCTATCTCATAATTTGCTGAAAGACAAACATTGAAATCAGAAATGACCATAAAATAATTAGAACATCCTTATTATTTTCATTAAGTAAAATCAACAGTCCCTTTTTTTCAGCAATAGTAAAAATTATTATTATTGTTAATATATGCTTACGCCTTTCCATTGAACCCAATGATTCTCCTTTGCCCTGTAAAAGTAAAAAAAAAAAAATTGTGAATGAGGTTCTTACACCATAAGATAATGATATAAAATATAATAAAAACACCAAATTATCCTCTTCTCTTATATTGACGTTTCAGGGATAATGAAACAAATAAATTTTAATGGAAAATAAGAAGGCTAAGAATGCCAGCTGGTAAGAAGTGAGGCATTTGGCAGGGCTCGACACTAACTTTTGACATCACTTGCCACTGTGGAAAGTAGATATGAAAATTTACTTTCCATAGTAAAATTTTACTTTCCAAAAATGAAAGAATCATATTTTCCACTATCCATAGTAGAAACATAACAAAATTAAGACTCTGTTCCGAGTCTTCCTTGTATTGCAGCTATGGAAACTCCTTAAGCCATCGTGGCGTCGCTTGCTTCGAATATGCTCCAGCTGTTTGATTTTCAGTCTGTTCTCCCCTTTTGTTGCTTTCTTGGTCAACTTCATCAATCTTTTCGGAGTTTCCTTTGTTAACCTCACCAGCGCGCTTAAAACACTCATGCATCATCTATTTCGTACCCAGGGTTTCTCGATATGTCACTGACAATTCCAGAATGGCGGAGATAGAAAAATGCGAAACTTAGACGTTTAGCTAGGAAGCTCACTTGTAATAACTAAACACATTCGTTTTCTTTTCTTTTTTATTTGGCTGTTTAAAAAAAAACTACTTTCCCGCGTTGTCTAGAAGTAGTTGCCCGATCGGGCAAGTATTTTCGGTTCATTTGCTTTTTTTACTTTCCACTCAGAAATATTACTTTCCAGTGGTGAACGGGTAAGTGTTAGTGTCGAGCCCTGTTTGGCTATTTTACAAGCGTAGCCAAGGATTTGAACTTGGGACTAACGAGAACAAATCCAGGAAGCAGTCAAAGTGGGACATGAAATTCCTATGTAAGTTAAGTCCAGCACGCTTAGCACTCAGCCTCAGCCACACTGCCTCTACCATCATACACTGTGTGTGATGAATGGCTCTGTAGGGTCAGAACCCTTATGAACACCATACTTACCTCAAACAAAAGAGGTTTAGGTTGATGAGAAACTGCAGGTGGTGTTTGACTGGCAAGGAACACTGTGGTTTTTCTTTCTCTTTTCCCCTCAATTACAACAGGCTTGTCGTAAAGTCCTACAATTAAGGTGGAAGGAAAACAATTTTTTTTTTGGTACAGTTTATCATTTTGTTTTTGTTTTACTCTCCACAAACTATGTGGTGCTATACTTGTGGAGAATATAGATGACAATTTTAACTCATCAGCGAAATTTTCTCACTTGATTATTAAGCAGCGTGCTAAGAAAGTAGTGTCCGATAGCCTGGGGCTAGCGGATTTTGCTATCGGACCAGTGAATTCTCTTCTTAACTTGCCCGACAGGCAAGTGATGGTTTTTGAGGAATTCAAATTGAAGAAGAATTGTGAAATCAATTCTGCTGGTCAAAAAGCTTTTGGGGCTAGTTGAAATGACATTTGGGCTAGTAAATGCTAGCGTCAGCTTGCCCGAATGGCAAGCTGCAAAAATGATTTTCTCTGCACCCTGTTACGCATGTAAAAATTAATAGGTATTATAGATCAGTAGTACTGACAAATCCCGAATAATTTGGGTAAAAAATAAAGACAGAGCATACGACTAATTTTATCCTTGAAAGAGCAGGCAATATTTAAGTTACTGTCAATTCCACAGCTCCCATATAGCTCTATTCATTAAACACAACACAGTGTGCACTGCTAAAATATGATTAAGTTAATTGATTACCATGCAGTATTCAAAGAGAAATGGTCCAGTGTCAAGCCAAGTCATCTAAGTGTACCCCCCCCAGATTTTACTGATGATTTGAATGTTAAATTCTATCAGTTGTTATAGATTTCAGATTCATCTTTGCATTTCTGTATGTGTAACAAGCAGTGAATTCACATGCAAGGTAGTTATGAGATTTCTGTCTGCTGTCCTTATAATAATTTTATCCACTCAAAGTTTTTCAACCATTTCAAATAACAGATTCATTTTTTAAATAATCAAGTCATCAACATAATCTACAAGTTTGTACTTAATAAAGCTGACTTGATTGCAACTTTTCCAATAAGATGGTAATCCCTAGAAGTGCTCTTTCTAAGAACCAACTTCCCGGCCCCTACCCCCTTCAAATTGTGTCATTATGGATAGCACACATATACACTGTACTATTGCACAGGTAAACTTTAAATCACTTGGAATTCATTTGGCTGTGGCTTTTGAGAATGGAGAAGAAACAATAATTATTCACAGGGTTTTACAGGGGTGGGAGCCAACCATACTTTTCATTGGTACGCTAGGAAATGAAGCTGGATTTTTGTCTAAACAGCAAAGCTTTGAGCATGTCAGTGTATGTAATCTAAAATTTTCACAACATAACACACTGCTTCAGTTTCCCTGTGTGAATGAGGTGCTGTAAAACTCTCGAACAAAAAAGGGCTGGATTCAGATAATAAAAAGAGTAGGATTACTTTTGTAAAAACACAACAAAAAACACACACACCAAAACGTTATGCATCTCATCTCCTATTGATCACAAGGTGACTGAAGCATACACATCTAAATTGCAATGTTGAGTTTAAAAAGCATCTAACTTTACAAAAAAAAACGATGCTTTACGAAAACGCATTTAACAACTTCGTAAGAATAATAAAATGACATTTTAATTTTCTAAAACACTAGAACTTAGCTTACTCAAAAATGCAAATTTCAAAACGATATAGATTTGTATTTACACACAACAGACGCGCATGTTGCAAGCTGTCCACAAATCATACTACAGGCTTCTGCTGAAGCAAACACGCAGATAAGAATCTACAAACGAACTTTGATTACCTGTAAGCTCTTCTTCGCTGGACTCTTCATCTTCTTCTTTCTTGCCGTTCTTTGTGTCCTTCGAATCTTCGGTTGCAGCATTGTTCGACTTCGCGTCCTGAAATATCGTTAGAAAAATCAAAAACCGCATGAGCTGCAGCGTTCAATTTGAATTTTACCAGCATCTCTGGGGTTATTTTAGAGATTCATAATGATTTCTTGAAACCTTTGTGATTTCTTTTGCTTTGGATTTGAGGTCTTGACTATCCGCTTTGTCCGCCATGATTATGGCTTCCAACGGGCATGTGCTTTGCGCGGGAAACTGAACAAAAATCGATAACTGTCAGCCTCATTTTGATTTTCATGCTCGTCGCTGGATATTTTGTTTCCTGTCTGCAGGCTCACGTTCATGTCAAGCGCTCAACGCCAACGCCCGCCGCGCGTAATTTTTCACGTGAAACGTTTCCCACGCGGAAACCAGGGATGGCAGAAAAGCTATCCGGGGCTCCGGAGCGCCCTGATGCAGAATCCCCGAAAGCGAATAAAATCGCTCCAACTTTCATGCCAAGCAGCCAACTCGAGCTGGGAAACAACTTTTTCTGCTCCGTTTGCCCCCCGCGGTAGGATTAGCTAACCGCGGCAGGATTAGCTCAGTCGGTAGCGCGCTTGACTGCAGAGCGGGAGGTCGCGGGTTCGATTCCCGCGGCCGGACCAATACTCAGGGTCTTAAAAATAACTGAGAAATGAAGGTTCTTCCTTTGCCCTGGTGGCGGCTGGAACTTCGCGTGGTTCGGATGACCACGTAAAATGGCGGTCCCGTCTCCATTAGGAGACGTAAAATATAGTGTCCCAATTAGCACTCAAATCAAGTGCATTTTTCGCATTTTTTTGACGGAAAAGCCCTGGGGACGGGGTTCGAGGAAAGACGCTTTGCTACGCTGTGATACACATGATATGCGCAGGCTACTACGCAGGTATTTAATCTGTTTTTGTTTATTTCAGTCACGTATATTTTCAGGTACCGTTTTTGCCAGTTTGTCTTGCCAACCGACGAGGAGCGCGCGGGCAACACACACTCATGTATCTCGCTCGTCAGTCGTCAGTGAGCAGTGTACGCTTGGTTGCCTTAAAGCTGTGGGAAAACGAGCAACTTGTTTTGCAGAGTTGCATAAAATAGAATTGAAAAGCCATGTTGCACGTTTTATACCACCTACAGTCAAGCCTGTCTTTCAACAAATCAGGCCGCTGCAAGTTTGCCACGTGCGATCACTGTTGCAGACAGCCTGCGTACTTTGAAAAAGAAACTTAGAGAATTCCTTTTTGAATCATTTCTGGTCAGCTAGAAGAATTACCTATTGAGGTTTTTATCTATTATTATGATTTCAACGTTTAGATATTTTATTCAGTATTTCAAACTTATCTTATGTATTATTTGTATGCTTATGTACGTTGCGTCTGAAAAACCCTGATTGGGAGAATCAATAAAGTTTGATGGGCTCCTGATAAAGTTTTATACTTTTCCTTTACTTTTTTTTACTGACCTCTGATTGGATAAGATTACGTGGGAGTCAGTCCATACTCGGTTGCCTGCGTCGCAGACTCTCTAAACCTTGACGAGTGCGTGGGCCGGCTGCAACGCAAGCTTATATCGGCAGTTACGTCCCTTGTTGAAAACAACTGAGTTTGCCTTGAGCCGGTAAACACACAACGTGTCAGATATTGCTGCAAAAAGTAGAACTGCTCTCTACTTTGTGCTACAACTTTCCGCAACTTGCAACAACCTGAGCTAACCTGATTTGCTACAAGACAGGTTTGATTCATGGGTCAGTGGAAAAACACCCAAAATCGCTATTCAACTCGTTTTGCAGCAATGTGGCAAAACAATTGGCTCGTTTTTTATTGCCCGTTTTACAAAACCCGTACTCTTAGCTCAATTACATTCCATTGCATGCTTTTTCAATTTTGTGTTTTTCATTAACACATGCACCGGTATGCATCACGCGCCATCTCGGCATTGAGCTCCCTTATATGGCTTGGACAAGAGAGACGGGATATGCCGCTGCATGAACAAGGTATGGTTTCTGTCCTCTCTGTCCTAAACAGGGAACAGTACTGTAAATGATTTCAGGCGTGTCTGTCCTAATTGAAAAGGGTATTGCCTGCACGATTACATGGGTTTATTTCAATTTTGGAAGCAAGGACCAACGTTACCAAAAAGAAGCAAGGACCAAACCCTAATAAAGGATCTAATCAGTTATAAGTTGAAATATCGAACAAAAGTAGGGCCAGGAACACGTGACGAACCCCTAAGCGCGTCTACGTGGGAGGCTACAAGTCTGATTTTACAGTCAGGAAAATATATTTTTTGTTGACAATTCGGAAGACACAGCCTTTGTTCTTCAGGGTCTTACATATAACGATAAGATTAAGCTAAGACGTTACAATTTAAAATAAAGAATAGCGTGCAATACGATACTATAATAAATACTGTAAATATAAATTTCATGTGCTCCAGGTCTTCAAAGGCAATGCCCATAACGTTAACTTTCTCTATTAATAATATTGCAATTGCTAATAAATGACTTTAAAATAAGACGGCGTTCATTTTGTCGTCTGTCCTAAACAGAGTAATAAAATTTAGGGTGTTGTTCTAGACAGGGTATGTATTTCTAAGACAAACTTAAAGCAAGGGGCACACATACACCAGCCTGCCCACTCAGTACCTCACGCATGCCCAGTGGCAGCCATGGACAGCTGTTTCCCCTTGGGGACATGTGGTGTGTGGAGCTGGTGATTAAAGGAGTGCTTTGTACCGGCCTTGGCAGTAAAGGGCTTCTGAAGACGGCCTTGTACGTAGAGAGGTCCGACGGCTATACCATGCTGATGAGCCCCAATATGGGCTAAACAGCTGTCCATTGCTGCAACTGCCCGGGTGAGTGCGCACGCGTGAGGTACTGGCCAGGTCGTTAGCTGGGGTGTGCCCCTTGCTTTAAGTTTGTCTTATGTATTTTTAGATTTTTATGTCTTAAACAGAGTCAGGCTTTCAAATCCTCTGCGGCCGTCACCCTAGCCTGTTCCAGGCTCCGATAGAGTGGTGGAAAGTCGTTGCGAAAAACGCGCGGGGGCCACCGCCCCCTTTCCCAAGTCGTGCGCGTCTTAATTTCACTTTTAATAAGTTCCCACTACGTATACTATCTGAGAGCCTGGCACAGGCTACCGTCACCCCTACCTAAATATTGGTCGACTACCTTCCAGGATTTGACTGCGGGGTTCAGAGCTCGGATATTACTATTAACGTTTTCTTGTTTGGGTATTGAAGGACTACGTAGCCTGCGTGGACGCAAAAAGAGGAGGGGGGGGAGAGAGAAAAGCGCCAATCCCTCTCCCTCTTTCCCTTCCTCCCTATCCCTTCTCGACGCCTGCTACGCAGGCTAGGACTACGAGAGTGCAATTTGCACGCTGGTGCATTATCTAACAAACGGAGCGGAAATGTTGTCAGATTTAGCGCTCAGTTTATACTCAATAAAACTGTAACGCTACTGGTGCGTTTTTTTGGTCAGATGAAGAGACTCATCGATCACGTTCCAGATGGACTCAGGCGGCCAGTGAACACGAAATTAAGGAATACATCTTTGAGTGCTTAATTAGGTTATGACCTCAGGAGCTATTAAATGCCTTTAAATAAATTTCAGGGGTTGGTTTTTCCCGTTAGCATACTCAATAATTTCACTGTGTTTGGGTGTTAGGGTCAAAATTATTGGGACAACTTGAATGTTTAACATTTCTGAAAACGGCTTCAGACTGTTTCATTGACGGCGCCGACCCGCATTGGAAGAACTAGGATGATTAAACAGTATACATAATATCATGTTGTTCGTGGCATGTTTTCCATCTGAAAAACATGCCACAAAAATATTCCAGATACTCGTTTAATTTTTTTAGTGTGGTTGGCCCTGAAGAGCAACACGTGGGTTGGGTGTTGACGTGACACAACTGACGCACCTAAAATTCTTGTCCGGCCGCCGTAAGCCGCCGTGTCCCTTTTCGCAGGCCCTGGATAGGTCACTGTTCATTCTCGTTGGAAATATTGATGTTTTTCATAGGGATCACGCCTAACGCAAGAACGCATTTTGACCAATTAATCACTTTAATGTGATTAAACTTCAATAGAACTATGGAAAGAATGATGAAAATTTAAAAGAACAGAGAAGTATGAGGAAAAGTATAAAGTAACACTAGGGTCCTTTACATTTCGTTTGAAATTTAGCTAAGACGCGTCTTATCTAAGAACAGCCCCTAACACCTGTTCTTCGATAAAACGCCTCATAAGTCGCGTCTTAATGAGCAGTTTATACGGGATAGTTTGCGTCTAATGAAAGACGCGTCTTATTTTCCTCGTATAACCCTACTATTACTGACACTATGCGCTTATAAGGATTTCACATGACGTTGGATTTGTTTGTATTGCATATGTACCTCTTTTTTCTGGTGTGACTTATACCTAGTAGAGAAATCCTTAAACTTTTTTAAACTTAAAATTGTCATAATGCAGTGTTACTCAAGGTGCAGGTCGACTATGCCGCTTGACCGGAAGTGGTGACAGCAACAGGAAGTGATTATCTGACATGTATAGCTATTGCTTTCATCGTGGTGAGAAGAAACAGTGAGGTCGCTGAAGCGATATCCCACATAAACAAAAAGCGTGACTGCCTACACTCATAATGCTTAAAGTCTTCGGGGACTTAAGTTCGCAGAGAAGACGATCACGACACTTACTTTTCATGCAAACTCTCCGAACTTGCTTTTTACATCTTAGAAATGAAGGGCAATCCGTCTCATAGATCAGGGAGTCAGTTCGCTTTCACGTGTTTGATGATGATTTCTGTTTTTAGCACAACCACGGTACACGCTGCTCATTCCTGGGAATCACCAAGCTTCAAAATTGAAAGGAAAGTCAATTTGGAGGCAATTGTATCTTGTGGAGAAGGGATGCTTCAAGGAAAACACGATTCAATGTGTAGATTGTCCGCAAATGAAGGTACAGTATGAAGTTTTTGATGTTTGAAATCAGCATTTATATTTTATGTTAGCAAACTACTGATGGAGATATTCTGTCCCAGTTTAACGGCATTAACAACATGATAGTTCGTATTATTTCGCTACTTGCTTGAAATTTTAATTTCAACTTTTCCCTCTTCTACGATTTGAGCGCCAAAAAAGAGATAGTTTCAACTTAGCACAGAAGATCAAGAGAGAATTAGCAATCCATGCAGACAGATAATCGGGGATAAACTCCCATTGTCGGCGCGAACGAATGTTTGTGGAAAGAAAATGGACCTTTCATTTTTCCTCTCTAAACAATGGAAATCTGCGATCATTTCAGCTTAGCTGCTCGTATCCCCTTTATAACCTTGGTCCTGTTGACTTTCCTGTTGTATACACAATTTTATCGAATCTTCGATCTTTCCAGAGTACGTGGTAGAAATTTCACAACAATCGCTGCGGTAATACTGTAGGTGATCTGATTCTCGATCGATGATTTAGCTAGCCTATGCGTGGGCGATAATTTCAACACTTTAATTCGTCTTATAATGATTCACTTTGACCCATCTTAAATTTTTTATCCAATATTCAGCTGAAACTGAAAAAAACTCTAGTGGCCACTAAAGCGAGAGAGGAGGCGTACTATTTTTGTATCACACACACAGGCGTCATTTTTCGCGGTTCTTATGAGTGTTATTTGGTGATGACTTCAGTGGCAGATCCAGGGTAGGGGCCCGGGGGGCCCAGCCCCCTCCCCTTATTTTTAGAAAAAACTGAGGCCCGAAGGGCCAAAAAATTTTTTTTGAGACCCCACCCCCCCACCCCCCTCCACCTTTTCTGAAGTCTGGATCCGCCACAGCACTTTCATTGGCAAGACTAAAAACTAAAATGAAATTCTAGAAATGTGATTATTGATGTCGTCTGAGTGTTAACATAACTCATGAGATAAACACGAGTGAGCATAATTGACTTCTAAATCTTTAAGGAGGATTTGACTGGGATTGTTATTAAACGACGAGTCCATGCGCGACCAATCTCCAGCGGTGCTATTACAAAGCCATTTTTAAAGTAGTTTTTATAAAGCTTAGAATCCAAAGCCAATAATTTTCAAAATCAATATTTTTCTCTTCTTGCCCAGAAGGCTGTGTCACTCGTGTGAGCTGGCCGCTGGGCGGTTTGCGGCTTTGAGAAATTCCCGCACATTGCAACACCCCAGCTTATCCAGATACTTGGTCGCGGTTTTTACAATCTAGCTCATTCTCAACCATTCTCTAACGGCTTCAAAAAATTGATACTTTGAAAGTATCGTCTCAAGTAAACTGATTTCTGGGTTTTCACTGTCTAAAAGTCTACAAGTTGGAAGGATTTGGCGCCACTCTACGTAGAGTGTGGAAAATTCAAAGAAAAAAAAGTTGAAACGACCTTGAACAAAAAACATATTTTACTCTTTTCCAAATTGCTCTATTGATTCTTGTTTTGGCGCAGAATTTCTATTCTGAAAAGACCAAAAGTCGTCTAGAATGTTATGATAGGGTAGAAATCGAGGAAAGAAGAATTGAAAGCTGTGGTGAAACTTTCTATTTTGGCTTTTCATTACACGTGACGTTATTACCACGTGTTTACTTACAGACGGCTATCAAAGCTATTCTGTGCGCGTGGTTCATGATCAAAATGCAGCTCAGAATTCTAAAGATTCCTCGGGAAATAATGCCAGCTCCGCACAAGCTCACTTGCAATCTGTCATAAAGAGGATGTCCCATCAATATAAGTTGTTCCTTGAATCTTTGGCATAGCAGGAAATGGGCGAAGTCTACAATTAAAGCAGGCTGTTATCGAATTTACAGTTTTAAAATACGTGACTTGGGTGGACTTCCTTGTCGCGTAATTAATGTGCGTATGGTGCGTACGCAAGTAAATTTTACACACGTATAAACTTTTTTTGACGTTTTATGCGCGACCTTTCATATATTACCTCTATTTTATTTTCGCTCTTCTGTTGAAATCACCCGACAGATCCACCTTAAGTCCTCTCGCTCCTTCTGCCCTGTGTCAATCCCGCTGCTATCAGTACTCAAGCTAGATAATATCAACCTTGAGTTTTAAGATATACAATTACAGTCTTCTTCCTGACAGGCCCTCCGAGGGGAGGGGGGAATTGGAAAACGCGCAAGGTACGCTAATAACGGGGGAGGAGTTGGTAGACAACGAGAAGCTTTTTTCAGAACAACGGGGAAGCGACGCGGATGGCAATTTTTCTGGTATTTCGCGGGCCTTTTAACTTCCCGTAAGAAATTAAGGGACCTGTCCTTGTAGGCTACATGGACAAACTTGGATACTAAATGGGCGCGAAAATATAAAACCAGAGACGGCAAATATGCAACCATGCGCGTGATCCCTATGTAAAGCGCATGATTCTTGATCAGCTTCGAGTGTGAGAAGGAAACAGTTACGCTATTGGTTAATTCAATTTTGTTAAAAATAGGCGGAATAGAAACGACTAATCCTGATTACTCAGAATGTTACGCACGTGGACTGCATATGAACTCCATCCACCCAGCGAAAACGACCTTTGAAAATCCATAACGAAGGCTATCTAAGAGCTAATACGTTTTGTTATTTTAAGTCTTGAAAGGTCAAATTTTCAACGTCTCTTTAAGAAGTCCGATTTTTTCAAATACAAAACCTTACTAACAGATTCAGGGAAAAGGGTTAGTGGTTGGTTGAGTTTTATCCTTTTAGTACTGAAATCAATGACAAAGAGGACATTTTGCGAGACAAGTATTTTTCGTCCTTTCAGAAAATAGATGACATATTTTGGCGCCTGCATTCAGTTTCCCCATATCAAACTACTTTCTTCCATCTTGTTACAGACACCCAAAGGCTATCAACCCCAGACTGCTCAGCGTGCGATCCCCGAAGTAAAATGCATCTGAGAATAGACAATGTTCTTGTAGCTGACAACAAAACCGAGTGGAGATCTCTCGCCAAGACAAAGGATAGTATATTGCAGGAGATAAACATCACTATCAACTTCCCACAGGTATATGGTGTAACATTTGTTTGTTTACACAATTTGAAGACATTTGCAATTTATCAGGGCAAAGTCAAGATAAAACCATGTTAACTAATACGACTTGCTTGGCGTAGCAGAACAGTGACAGAGTGACATGGAAGTGAAAATAATCTTCAGCCTTACAGGTTGCATTTCAGTTATCCGTCAACGCTTTAGCTCTGTTCACATCCGACGATTGTCGTCAATAAGGAACCGTGATCACGCTTTACATAGTTCTACTGTTTTTGTCTTCACAGATGTTTAGGTAAAACTCATGTACGGTAACGTCTTCCCGGCCAAAACTTCTCCCGTCGTTGTAACTTTAGTGTGAACGCCATCTCTTATCAAAAGTTTAAGTGTCTTTCAAGTGCTCTTTAAGCAAACTTAAACCAAAGTATACTTCAGCTGCACTTAGGGGCCTAGTGTGAACCAGCTATATATTTTAAGAATGGAAACGCTACTACAAGAAATGAAAAAATATACAGAGAGCAGAACAATTACAGCGGACCACGCAGGATGTTGCAGATCGAGATGTCTGGTCTGTCGGGAAGATGGCACAAGATCGTTGGACATCATTTTTTGCAAGTCATTGCAATCAAATATTATCGTGTGTTTGTGCCCAACTCAACGTTAAGAGTTTGCACTCTCAAACACAATGATGTGTCTGAAAGTATAAAATCGTAAAAACGTCGTCCATGAAATAGGCTAAGTCTCTCTTGCGTGGAAACGCACAGACCAATCTTCTACTCTCTAACCGAGACCTTTTTCAATGATTCTGTAAGGAATGCAGTGTCGTGTAGCCAGTTAACATCAGTTGTGTGCAACGTGCAATTACGTGGCAGTGAAATCTAGGCGTAGCTATTTGTATGCAGACTCGTTAAGCAACGCACGTTCCGAACAGTCGTGAAACGCCTCCGGGGAGATTGGTGGAATCTTCAGACGCTGAGGCTCATACCACGTAAATGGAATCTATATAAATTTTTGTCACATACAGTCAGGTAAAGAGCTCAAAATAATTACGTGAAGCATCCAGATATACTAGTCGGCATTTTTCATAAATCATGCGTCAGTTCTTTTTTCTGCCTGCGTTCCTGTCTCTCTAGATTGGCCTCCTCCCGTCAAACAAATACTGAAAAGTTTTGTAAAAATATGCTGAACCCTGTAAACGATCATGTTTTTCTATCAAAAATTTGTCTTTTCTGATTGAACGAACTGACCGCTGACGTAGTCGGCAGGATTCGAACCTGCGCGGGGAGACCCCAATGGATTTCTAGTCCATCGCCTTAACCACTCGGCCACGACTACATAGGTGATCTCCGACTGCTTAAAGTACTCGGTGATCAGTTCAGGATCATATGGCACCAGGTCCTTGTGTGCAGGGTGCTAAAAGGAAAATTAACTTTTAGAGCCCTGCACGAACTGTGCCAAGGGCAAGTAAAAGTATGTGTAAATTTTTAATTGAAAAATTTACATAAAATTTACAGCGGCAGGGAAACGTTTTTTTTTTTTGTTTATTAGAAATTGCTTAATGTTGATTTCTTTTTCATTTTCATTTAGGATATACTTATACTTGATAATCATGCCTTGCATTTAACTATTCTTAATACCTAACTCACTACGGAGTCTTCATTGACGTGATCAGCATTTCCACAGAAATTTTACAAGTTACTTAGATAAGCGCAGCTTAGGAAAGTACGGCACCTCTCCAGAAATACGAGGGGTCAAAAACTATAACCCGGACCGAAATAGTTACGACTTTCCAAAGACCTGCTTGTGATTAAATTCTCGACTGATTTCTTTTGCCAAATGATTGTTTTAGTCAAAATACCTGCCACCGTCATATAATCAGTAATTACAGTCTCATATGTTTGCTTTAAATATTGTGACTTGTAGAACAAATTGATTTTTGGTATCTCTCAGTGGTAGAAATGTACTAACCTTTGCACAGCTAACCCCTCCTCTCAAAGAAATCAGGCTTAAATATACGAGAATATAAACTCTCAAACGGCAAAACATGATCCTATCATGGGTCTTAAGGTCCTGGTAATAAAATCATTAGTTAATTCAATTAAGTAGCTAATGCATCGTTTTCATGTCTATGCATTGTTATTGTATATCCCTTAGGTGTTCAAAGTTAGGCGTATCTCAGTCAAAGCAGGTTTAACTCCCCTCCCTGCTCTTTGGATGTTGGAAGAGTCACATGACGTCAAAAGCGATTTCAAAGCCATTCGTTATTATGCTGCTGACCAAGACGACTGCTCTAACTTTAGTGTCCCTGTGTGCGTCCTGAAGTCAAATCGTTCTTGGGAGGAAAGTGTAAACGTACGTTCAGTTAACCCAAAGATCTTCCGCCTATAAGAAAGTGAGCTTCAGTTACCCTAGAAAACTATATGAGGGCTGAAAGGTTTTATTTTTTTATTAACCAGTGTTTTTACACTGGCATTGTAATTTAAATGTTCGGTCACGTTAAAAGGGTCGTTGGATCAACGAAGATTTTCCGATAGGGACTTGTTTGATATCTTCTTGTTTTCCCCAATTTGACGAAGTTGAAAGTAGACTGTATTTAACCTAGCTGTAAAATCTGCAGAGCGTGCAGATGAACTCATCAGTTTATTAGCAAAAATATGTCCCTTACTGATATACAAGCTTTGCTGCGTAAGGTGATCTTCCAATACGCAAAGTATAGAAAGTTTAAAATGAACACTTCTTACGCAGTCTAAACTAAGCCCAGTTGAAATTAATCCAGACTATTTATGAACTTTCAGGTGGATGTTTTGGCATCTAGAGTTCGTCTCAGATTTTTGAAAATGTGGAGCGACTTTGTAAGTACAGTGATGAATGAAGCCAGCCAACTCGTCTTCCGAGTGTGCATGGCTATATTTTCTTTCATATACATCTGAAAAAAAGTTGAGTGTTAAGTGTTCAAGAAAGCAACCATGGACAAGTCATCCTAGGGCATACACATTTATGTCTCTTAATTAAGAGTAGAAAAAGTAGTAGTTGTTATACCTGTACATTCGGCGAGGTTGACTGACAATGACGCAACTTATCGCCTTATCAATTGAAAGTATGCGATTCAACGCACGCTACGCTCGCAGCACTTTTCTGTTCCGCACAGGCAAAGTATCAATTTATGTGTATTAAGATCCACGCCCTTTGTTGTCACTTTAACAATCAATTATAAATGGACAACTACAAAAGTATGTTTCGCTTTGACCTCAAGGATATGAGGAAAAGGAAATATTTCTCACGGAGAAAGTCAAATAGACTGGTACAGAGTAGTACAAAAGCAGTAAAGAGTACAGGGTACTAAAGAGCGCTATTCTCAATCTTTAACCTCTGTGTACCATCTTATCACTTTGGTGATTTTTGACAGGACTTCTATTCTGTCAGTGAGATATCGATAGAAGGACAATGTGAGTGTAACGGGAAGGCTGAATGCTCGGTCACAGACGATGGACTGATGGCATGTCACTGCATAAACAACACCTGTGGAGTAAAGTGTGAGACTTGTTGCCATGGATATGTGTTAAATGACAGTGGAGATTGCGCAGAAGTTGAAGGAACTGGCAATAATACAGCGCAGCCCCTTCAAGCAAACCTCAGTGCACCCGCATCAACAGAACACGTTACTGATTTAGAGTTGCTGAAAAACGCTACTAAGCCTTACAATCCCGACCATTTCCTCGAAAAACCAGCTTCAGTGTCCACTTCAAAAAAACGCTCCTCGTCTATGGTAACTACTGTAATAGCTAATATCATAACCCCATCTCCAATTACCATTGCAAGCAAGTCATTGGAACAATCTTCGAAAGCTGTTGAATCGATTTTGGTAGAAAGCACTCGACAACCTAGTCAAACGACTACCAGTTCAGACGTTGGCGATTTTTTGGAAATTGAAGTAAACCGTTCAGATTCGTCTTCTGAAGATAGTCCGCATCTTTCTGTTTCACGGGATAACAATGTAGAGAATGCCTCTCAGCTTTCCTCAGCAGAAAGAGATTCTTTTAGCATCGTTGCCACTAATACCACTTTGAATGCCACAACTAAAGACACCAATGTGAAGAGGACCATAATCTCCTCCATTCCAGAGCTTTCCACATCTGAATCAGTTACAGAACAAAGTTTTGCTTCTTCGGCGACTATGACTTCTGCTCATGAAAATGCAGCCACAGAAAGAAATTCCTTCGCTACCGTCGACATTATGAGTGACGAGGAAGCCACTGAGGAGATCATCATCGCAACACATACTTTAACTGAATCTAAAGCCAAAAAGAACGCTTCAAACCCCGCGAAGTTGTCAAGTACGTCTGCTACAAGCGTCAAACCTCATACTTCATCTGAATCTAATGCCAAAGAAAATGCTTCAAAGCCTTTCAAGCCATCAAAAAATGCGAGCGGTAAGCCAAATACCTCATCTGAATATCATGCTGAGGATAATACTTCAGAGCCAGCAAGTACTGCTGCCGCAAACGTCAAGTTGCGTACCGCATCTGAATACCATGCCAAAGAGAATACTTCAAAGCCTGCCAAGCCAACAAGTACCGCTGCCGCCGGTGCTAATCCAAATACCTCATCTGAAAATCATTCCAAAAAGAATACTTCAAGGCCTACTAAGCCAACAAGTGCCGCTGCCGCAGGCGCTAAGCCAAATACCTCATCTGAATATAATGCCATAGGTAATATTTCAAAGCCTACCAAGCCGTCTAATACTGTTGCTGCCAGCATCAGGCTACTAGTCACTACGGAAGAAATCACGGCTCAACCTGCTACCAACCAGACAACAAATTCAACGAAAGCAACTTCCCACCATGCGAGTGAGGAAATAACTACCACTAAAGAGTCTGCCACGGAGAAAAAAGTAACCACGGAGGGGAATGCTGAACAGAAGCTCAGGTATAAGTCCGCTACCGCAGAAATAACATCAGCAACAATAACCACGACATTACCAGTAACAGAAGAAACAGTGTTAAGAAAGGCTACTATCAAACCACAAACAAGCAAGGACCAAATTACACCAGAACTTTTCAACAAGCAGACAACAACCACTTATGTGACCACTGATAAGTATCCTACAAGAAGGGCATCACTACCATCCTCATCATCATCATCATCATCATTCTCATCATCAGAATCACCGTCATCTTTCTCGTCCACAGCGACAAGAACAAATGATACCACTGTTCTGAAACGTACTAAGTATTTGAATTCTCCAACAACAGTAACGGTAACTACAAGGGCCGATAAGGAAAATAACACAAGGGAGCCAACCACTGAAAAACCATTGGACAGAGAGAAGACTACCACCAACAAGTATCACACGCCTTCAACGACAGCTTCACTTTCTGTTGCTGAACAATCGACATCCCCTGTAACTATCAATCAAGAGACGAACACCGCCATGGAGTCGAATCCTACCGTTAACAGCACAGGAATAACAACCCAAGACAGGTTTGACCATGGGATCTCCCCCAAATCAATAACAACTGCGACAGCAACTATTTCTAAAGAAACCACATCCACTCAAGAGACCTCGGCTATGACGACTACTGATTTGTCCCCTACTAAGTTAAGCTCTTCCATGGATGAGACTCTCACAAAACCTTCTACAATTAGTCAAAAAACAAAGGACGGACAAACCGAAGAGTCGTCTTCTGATAGTTTTTCAACAAAGAAGACTTCAAGTTCCCAAGCTGCGACAAACTACTCCGAAGTCGAGCAGACATTGACCACCGTGGCGTCCAAGGAAACCACTAATAACGAGACAACTTTGGGACCTACCAGAAAGGGAACAACCACAGTTGACACAACAAGCGTCACAGAACATGCTTCTGCAAAGAAAAATGATTCCTCCGCCATCCCAAAAGCAGCAACAGCAACCACCACCAAGGCGACTGTGAAAGAAAGCTTAGCTAGTATGACTAATCAAGTGGACGTAACTACTGAACCTGCTATAGTGAGTACTACAGTAAAACCTACAGCACGCTCTCTTTTTGGGAAAACTACAGCTACAACCAGTCCATCAATAAAAACATCTACTCGGCTTAATCCTTTGGAAAGTACAGTTCTTCCTCCTATTGCGGAGGAAAATTCGACTGCGCTCTCCACTGGGGTGAAAACTACTACTCTTCCAACCGTAGTAGAAACCGGAACGGAGAGCAAAATAACAAAAAAGACTACTAAATCCTCCAATTTGAAAACTATAACTGCTCCTTTCCATTCCCTTCGGGACATTTCTACCGCACATACCTCCCCGGAAACCACTACAAGGCCTCCACTCGTGAATATCACAACTAAGTTCTCCATTATGGAAACCACAAATGCGTCTGTCGAAACAACGGCGGAAACTTTTCCTCCTCTCGATAAGACTACGACTGTGCCTACCACTGTGAAAACTACATCTGTGTCCACCAAAACGGATATAAATGTCATTCCAGAAGAAACCACAACCGAGCCTTTCCCTCCCCTTGTGGACATTTCTATCCCGCCTACCACTATGGAGATTACAACTACCCGTGCCACTGTGCAAACTACTTCTTCATCACCTGCGAAAACCACGACGGAATCTTCCTCCCCTCTTGTAGAAATTACTACTGTTCCCACCACTGTGAAAACTTTTACCGTGTCCAGCACTGTGGAAGAAGCAACTACAGAGCCACAAGAAACGACAACCGAACCTTTCCCTCCTCTGTTAGATATTTCTACCCCTCCTTCCATCTTGAAAATAACAACTAAGCCCAACATTGTGCAAACTTCTAAGTCTCCTGAAAAAACCACCACGGAACCTTTCCCTCCCCTTCTGGAAATTACTGCGATGCCCACAACTGTGGAATCTACTACTGGTCCCACAACCTTACATATGACAACCAAGACAACAGAAACCACGGTTGAGCCTTTCCCTCCCCTTGTGAAAAGAGCTACGGAGTCTAGCGCTGTAAAAAGAGCGACTGAGCCCACCAGTGGTAAGGCCACCATTGAGCCTTTCCCAGCCCTTGTAGAAACAACTCTCCCTCCAGCCAAGTTCAAAACCACGACCGAGCCCACCACCGTGATTACTACTCCTGAACAAACCACTGTAATAACAACTATTGGGCCAACTACACCGGAAGAACTTACGGAAGAGCAGGCTCGCATTCTCTTTGGAAATCTTCCTAAGGGAGGTAAGACAGCTAAGCAAAATACTTTTTTACTCATATTTAAAGTTGTACTCAAGCCTGTAAGGTGAACCAACATTTGTCTGAGGTTTCAGTAAGGAATGATTTATTGCGATCCTTTCTTATTGCCTATTTATTTTTTTGTTTCAGTGTGTTATTGTGTCAAGTTTGCGACAGTCGACAGAAGATGCTTTCCAAAGGCCTTGCACAAACCCTGTATATGCAGATCCAACTTTGCTGGGGTTAGATGTGAAAAGTGCGCGCCGGGTCATTTCAACTACCCTTTCTGTGCTCGTAAGTAGCAATCTTACTAGTTTATAACACATTTTTAGTCCCCATTTTTTAAAGAGTGTATTTTGGAGGTATGTAACAGAATGCATTTTCTTTGGTGTGATGAACTGCAAGTTAACGTATTCCACAGGGCCCGGTTCCTGAAAGGCCGATTAGCGCTAATCCAGGATTAAAATTTTGTTCCACGTTTTTTATTTACTTTCATATGTATGCTTAGAGTAACATTTGTTTGTGTTATCATTACTGTATCTCACAGTGAAGGCCCAGCAGTATGTTGCAAGCTTGAGTTACATGTTCTTAGGAGAGAAAACCGTGCTTAAAATTTAGGTTAATCCTGGGTTAAACTTAGCCATCTTTCCAGGAACCGGGCTCAGAATAAATTTCGGAAATGAAGGCCAAGACACTACTTTTGTTCTATACTACTTGGTTATGCTGCATTGTGTAATATTCTCCTTTGGGTATCATATTAGGAGCAGAACTTTGGTTCAGGAGAGGGTCGGTACATTATAGAGCATTTATACCTGGCTTCCTAATAAGGGCGGGGCGGGTTCTAACGGCTCGATAATTCGGAGCATATGATTTCCCCTTATTAACTACAATAAGCTTATCCCCGCGACATTTATTTCTAATTGAAGTTGTCTTTTCATACTGTTTTGATTTTTTCTATATTTGGCAGCTTGTAGGTGTAACAAACTGGGCTCAGCTAACTTGATGTGTGATATAGAAACTGGTCGATGTACCTGCAAACCTGGCGTAAGGGGACGAAAGTGTGACGCCTGTCCTCTTGGATCATTTAATTTCCCAACTTGCTCAGGTAGGTTGACGATATACGTCCATTAGCCGCCTTACAATTGGATAATATCAGCTGAAAGAAATAAGACACAAGAAAAAACTCATTTCGGGCTTTCGTACTTAAAAACACGTCCTGTTTCCTATTTTCATGTTGAAAGCAGAACACCATTGGAGACAGCTGTAAGTTTTAGCGTTAGCCTAGTTCTTTCTTAATGGTAGACTACATTTCATGATGCTTTCTTGCTTGTTTCAAAGTTATGGCACGTCAAGCTTTTTGAAGTATTGTAAGTTTTACAGTTGCTAGTTATTTGGTCACTTGACAGTCAGTCAAGGGAACTGATGCGCTAAACATGATCACCAGCCCAGCAAAGGTACAGCGAGTGAAGCAGTTAGAGAAAGCCCACTGTCCGCCCACTGTCCTCCTCCTATCTATGCACCAAACTCCAATTACCTTTCCTTGCTTGCTCGTTCTATCACCTGATTTGACGCCAGCGGAGGGACTTCTAGTAGCCTTGGAGGCAAAATATTTGCTGTCGCGTTACATTTTAGCCTGTTGTTGTGGATTCTATGTTCGATTTTCTTTTTACTCTTTTTTTAGCTTGCGAGTGTAATCCTTCGGGCTCATATGGTAACGTGTGCGATCCATACAACGGACAGTGTCCCTGTAGGTACGGAGCTCGTGGAAGACAATGCAACAAGTGCCCTGCTGGTTACTACAACTTTCCTTATTGTCAATGTAAGTAAAGGCAAGGTTTAAAACGTTCTTGTACACCGTGTTTAATCAAGAAGTTTGACCGTGCCTTGTTACGAAGTTAGAACCGATAAAGCTTTTAAGTATCGATATTGTTGCTCATACATTTATATCGATATCCTCACCACATAGTATTGTTAAGTACATATTTAACTCAGATTTGAGGAAAAGTTAGCAATATCAAGCTTAAAAAAGAACTTTTCCTTTAGTTGCTGTTGTTAACTAGAAGAAATTAAGGTTTGCAGGCGGATATGAATTTTCTTTTCCTGATTATAGGGTGTGGATGTAATCCATTAACAACAACTGAAAACATTTGTGAAGATTTTAGCGGAGGCTACAGGTGTTTGTGTAAATCCAACTTTAAAGGACATTTCTGTGGAGAATGCAAAAGAGGGCACTACGACTTTCCTCTCTGTAAAAGTGAGTAAAACAACATTTTTTATCTGGATTGATTTTGGACTATACCATAGCTGTTCCTGTTGTTTACAGTTTTGTCATCTACTTATCACCAGAGTGCGCATGCTCTCCTCGTGGTTATGGATCATGCAATGAGCTGGGTAATTGCGTCTGTGATGCTGGTTATGCTGGAAGCCAATGCGACCGATGTGCAAACGGTTATTATGGATTTCCGAGTTGCAGAGGTAAGTGATTACATTTAAACTTTATCACAACTGCCCTCATGAGATGTTCACTTACAAGATGACTAAATGGGAGCATTTCTAATTCTTGTATTTACGCGGCCACATTGCCATCTTTTAAGATGACAATCAGTGGGGCCGCGTTATACAAGAAGTTTACGACTGCAGGTTTTTCGGTCGTTGCGAGACAAGTTATCCAGAAGCATTGCTTAGTTTATACTGCCGTTACACGCCAAGGAATCTTTATACAGTCGTAAAATTCAATCCAAAGAAATTACTTTTGACCATTCACAACACAAACTAACAATGAAACGAAACAATTACACCTTGAAAAAAATTGATGTGGAAGTCCAAAGGCAGAGGAACAAAAATATTTTCGACTTTATGGGCGGTTATCATTCATTCGTCAGAACTTCCTAGCCATTCCAGTCATAGAGAATTCCACTATTAATAACGACCATCCATCTCTGTCAGTCTTGAGTTTTTCCGACAATTTTAAGAATAGAAGACTTTTTCATTTAATATTCATTTGAATTGACCGGTCCTGTCGGACCTTTGACGAACACTTTAAGTTAGAGAACAGCATTCACGCAAGTAAGAAAGAAGCATGTCAACTGCATAAACTGAGAGGATACACAATGAATGCACAGAAACCCGAACAACAATACCAAGTGTTTACAGTTGCCAGTGGCTCTTAATTACAAGGTTTATTGAAATTTTTTTTCCACAGCTTGTAACTGCAACACTTTCGGCTCCTTTACTACACAATGCAACTACACCACTGGCCAGTGTGCGTGCAGGCCCAATATTCGAGGAAACCAATGCAACCGTTGTGTAAAGGGAATGGTGGGCTTTCCTAAGTGTGTTGAATGTGACTGCAACCCAGATGGTACAAGATTTTTACCTGGAAAAACTGAGAGCATGTGCTATGGCACCACTGAGGTAAAGTTAAATGAAACCACAGGGTAGTTAGTAAGAGTATTACAATCGCCCCGCGACTTTGTCGTCCTCTAGCCAAGGTAGCAAGGATAGTTTTTAATAAGATTATAATAACGTTTTGTCCCAGGGACAGATGAATTTTTGATGTGAGCAGTGTTAACATTAAAGTAAAGGCTAAAAATATGCCATCATGAAGCCCATTTTAAGATAAAGTGCTACGACAAAAATCTATGTGAAACAGGCCCCAGCAGGATCGCAGTCTTTATAAGAGGCGGCGGCTCTATCCACATTGAGCGGGCTTTTCCTTTCTCTCTTCCCCTTCACTTTTCTTTCCTTTTCTTCCCTCTTGTTCTAAATTTCTTTACGACCTCGGGCAATAATACTTTCTACACAGGCTCTTTTTTCTTTCGCGTCAAATAACTCAGCTGATCCAAAAAGTCATAGGCAACAAAAGTCATAGTGTATTTTCCGTTTCCACGTAAACTTTTCATGACCTAAAACATTTCAGAAGTTTCTCTCTGCTTAAACCTTAAACAGTCGTTTTTGCTAATATTTGACCACAATTTCTTTATCTTTACTATTGGTGGGAAAAAGTTTTTTGATTTTTAAATTCTTACTAAAAATAGTGACCACTGTCCCTTTTAAGCGGGTGGTTACCACGGTAACGTCAGTAAAACTGCGTTTTTCCGTTTTGCTTTGCACAGTATAAGTGCCTATGCAAGGCCAATGTTGCTGGAAAAATATGTGATCGTTGCAGACATGGCTACTACAACTTCAATGGCAGCAACCCTTCAGGGTGTTCGCCTTGCACGTGCTCATCACATGGTACCATCTCAGGAACACGCCGCTGTCACGCTCAATACGGGTACTGTGACTGCAAAAACCACGTCATTGGTGGAAAGTGCGATAAATGCCGAAATGGTTACTATGCATTGAAATCACATCATTTATTGGGTTGCAAAGGTGAGTTTAGAGTTCAGTCGAACTAATTACCATGGTCTTGGACCTCAAAAAGAATCGAAAATTGCGCCAAAGTCGTGCGAAAATAAACTGGTGGGTGAAGACGCGGCATTACACGAGAACAGGGAAGTTTCCCTGACTAAGCTCCGGTTTATGGGCTCCTGCATTTAATTATTTTTTCTGTTTTGCCTTCAGTGTCAGTGCAGTCTTCATGTAGAGTAGATTGTAGAATTAATGCAGCAGTTTATTATTCAGTCATTAAAATAATTTGTTTGTTTGTTTCATATTGGGTTAAATCCCGTGGCTTCTTTTACATGACGGGTTAACGCTGAACACATTTGGAAGATTTACGCCTGACTCAATAAATAACAATTATTGGACAAGTGACGTCCATCGTCCAATTATGAAAAAGTGAATGAATGAATGACGTCATACAACAATTAGAGGTGGCTAGAGAGTGCGTGGAAGATTTCAACACTTTGGGAAAAAAGAATAGTCAAATTTTCCGTAACTGGAAAAGGTAGCAGGAACCAAAAGCCGGCTACTAGAAAACAGATATCGTGTACAACTCAAAGCTGTCGTATGTACAAGCTTGACAATTTTTTAAAAAAAGATCAGACAATTATTTGACTACGCTAGCCATTAAAATATATACTGTATACGTGGCAAAAAACAATCTTCTAATCAGAGCGTGATAGCCTCTCTAGGTGTATATTTGATGATGTGTCTTCTCCTTTGTTTTCTCTTTAACGTCGTAGCGTGCAAGTGCGATCCTGGAGGCTCCGTAAACATGAACTGTTTTAAGCATTCAGGAGACTGTTCGTGTGTGACTGGTGTAAGAGGAAAGAAGTGTGACAGGTATAGATGAGATCTATTTCGCTCCTGCTTACGCATCCTTTATCCATCTATTTATAATTTTTTGCGGGGGGTTGAAGAAGAATAATGGGTTGTTCATCATTGGATTATTCCCTCTCGACAATTATCAAAAATAAAAAAAAAACGTTCATTTTCCATCATTCTTACTCGAAAATTTTCGTCATTCTTTTAGGGTTATTGATCTTCAGCCCCCCGATTATTTTCTCTGCTGTTTTCAATTAAAAAATCTCATCGCCCGATACAAGGGCGTTACAATTTCACGGCCCAATGCAATGTATGTGTGCATTTGTCTACCCGACCTTTTTCATTGGTTTTTACTTAACGGCCACGTGCACAGTTAGAATCTACTTGTGGAAGAAAACTACATCCAGTGTTTCCTTTTATAATAAGTGTAGAATAAATCATATTAGTACTCCGTTATCAAAGCAGGGGAATTGATCTGTTGGCATGGAGATGGGGAGGGGAAAGAGATATTTCCTATTGATACATGTCTCAAGAGGAAAAATTATCGTAGTCCTCTTTTTAGGGGAGTTGTGAAAATCGAAATAGCCAACTTTCACAACATCATAGCTGTCAATTTCTTCTCTCTACAGTCTCTTCTCGTCCAGACCACTATATTTCCCAACCCTGTATCAAATGTCCGTGGAACTGGAAAGGGCCGTGTTGACGACAAACTCGAGAGTCTGGGTACCAATTGGGGCGGATGAAAACAGATTTCCGTCATTTTCAGGCACTGGCTACGCAATATTTCCCGCATATAAGGTAATGTCTCATTGTTTTATTCTATTTTTTGTCTTATTTGTTCCTCTTCAATTATATGAGGATTTTTGTTGTTAAGGTGAATGGCCGGTCCCCAGTACTACGGTATGGTGGTGCAATGCCGCCAAGACATTAATAAATGTCACCAAATCTTTCTCATTATGGAGATTGAATATGCTTTCTCTTACCCCAGTTATCGCCAACAAAATAAAACTGTCTAAGGGTAAACCTGGCAACGGTAATTCAAGCTTAACTGTTTTCATCCAGAATAAAAAGGTACAGAAAATTTGCCAAAACCGTTAGCAGAGCGAGGTTTTGATCCTCGGACCTCTGGGTTATGGGCCCAGCACGCTTCCACTGCGCCACTCTGCTATCGATGACTTTAACGCGGTTAGTTTCTTTAGTCAAATGAAGAAAGAATATGGCTCGGTCCTCTCGCCTGTTTCATTAATTTTGAAAAGGTCTGATTTATTTTCTTACACGTTCAGTTTTCTTTGTTTTATGGATGCATTACATTTGTTAACCCCTGAGAACACTAGAATTCCATAAAAAGGTAAATTATTTTCAGGAAAGCGAGGTATTGATACTCGCCGGCGCGACCCCTGGGTTATGCCCTGTCTACTTTGTCACTCAGAGCTACTCTGCCGTCAATTAAACAAATGATTTTTTCTTTAGTAAATTCAAGTTCAAGAAGGAGTAGTTTTGCATCAGCTGTATTTTAGTTTTCTTGCTGCTGTTTATGGCCTTCTGATGTAAAGAAAAATTATCACAACTTGTTCAAGCATTACAATGATTTATGCCTTTTTCATGGTGTTCCTTGCCTTATATCTTACTTGTATTGATGTATGCTGCGTAATAACAGTAATAAAACGTGCCTGCAGATGCGTAGTTTAACTGTTTTCCCGTTTGTTTTTTTAGCCATATTATGTTACTATAAACATTCCAAAGACAAGACTGTATCGCATAATCTTCCATTATGCATTGAAAGAGAACCTTCATGCCTCTGCTAGAGTGGATCTTGCACCCCGAGGTAAAACTACTCTTGAATGTGAACTAACAGAATGAGATATTTAACAATTATTCCTCGAGCCCGAATGGGTTCTGAGTCAACAGCCCATCAGGCCAGAGGCCATGAGGGCGAGAGGAATAATTGTTTTAGTAAAATCCGACTAGTTGGTCAAAGATATCGAGACAAAGCAACTTTAGCTAGCAAAACGCGATTCAGCCGCCATTGTTTTGGTTTTCAAAGCCGGCGCTTTTCGCTACTGCTGGGCAAAAACATGTAGCCTACTAGTATCTCAACCAATGAGAACGCAGCATTGATAATAGACCACTAGTTGGATTTTACTAAAAAAGAATTGTTTTGTATTTTCCCCTCTGGCTAGAAGGACCGGTACGAAGAGAGGTACTGTCCTAATGACACTGTGGTCTTACTTATGCAACAGCAGCCAAAATCGAGCAAGTGAAAGAAATACTCTGCTGACATGGTGACTCAACCGACAGTTACTAGCAAATATTTGATGCAGGTTTACCTCACCCGTTAGTGAATAACACATAAAACGGCTGCCAGACGGGCCGAGGTCATGCGCCGACCCACATTACGGAGATTACAGGAAAAGCAAGGATTACGAATTTTTCTTCCATTTTTCATGTTCGCCAGGGTTGGCCAGGGGATAATGAGATAGCGGTATGATCCACCTTCTTCTAAGTAACCTTATGCTTCTCTTATTTGGATATTTTACAATTAAAGTAACCTTTTCGTCAAAACAAAAAGCACAAGTTCTCGAAGTTCGTTGGCTGAACATCGAACTCTAAAAAACGTCTGGTAGGATTGTGTAATACGTGCTAGGCAAGGGTTATTTAACTTTTTTTTTTAGTATTTTATTTAGCTGCATATGATTCATTCCTTTTAGGCTCTAAGATTTCTAATCACACCTTTGAAGTGCAGTTTTCTCCTCCAAAGCCCGGTGCACAGCAAACCAAGAACTTGACGACAACTGTGAATAGAAGAGGACTAATCAGAGAGTTTGATATGAAAAAGGGTGCCTGGAATATTATTATTACATCTCATAGTTCCATGCTTTTGTTGGTAAGTTTGCCAATTTGTCAAATACTTGAACTACGTAACAAAATCTATCGATTTACTTCTACAACGCACTCCTTTTTTCCATAGGTCACTTACCAATGTGTGATAAAAAAGTATTTAGAACCAACAGTTAGTTTCAATCCTACTTAGAAATATTTTTCTATGATACACGCCCCCAGACTTGCGCGTTTGGGTTATTGGGAAATGGTCACTTTATACATGTAAACAAACGGACGCAACAGCTCCCAACATTGTTGGCCAACAACACGCACCAACATAAGCAAAACTAACTAACTACGAGAGGACGACTGGAGAACTGACAAATTGACTAACAATAGACGGATCGAAACGCACCAATCACTGATTACGAGTCTTCATAGCCAATAACATCACGGCTTAACTAACAGACGACCAATAACATCGCGACGTAATTGACCAAACAGATCAATAACCAGAGTATAAGACCATCAACTGACGTGATACAACTCACTTTGACGCGGAAGATGACTACCGCACAGGTTGTCGAAACGTTAGTCACTGTCAACAACAACAGTCCTATTCAGGACTACGTTCACCCGGACGATCAAACTCAACCTCCTTTTGAAATGACTCCTGGGTTCAAACCTTTCACAGTTTTGCAACATGTAACATTCAACAATGTTGCATCCGTTTGCACGGGGCTTAACTTTTTTATTTTTGCTCATGATAATTGACTTCCAAGCCTCGCTGGTATGTGCAAACTGCTAAAAACATTTTTACTCCAAAACGAGGCTTTGAGGTCACTGACAGGTAACAATCACACACTAAATCCCAAACAGAATCTTTTATTAACAAGAACAGTAATAACATTGCAATTCTCAGAGAAAGCGAGGTTTTGATGTTATGTTATGAGAACAGCACGCTTCCTTTGCGTTCACTCGGCTTTTGCCGGTTGGCAGAGATGATTTGAACAGCGTCTTCGTTAGCCTTAGTAGTAAGAATTTCTCTGCGAACTGAGTCCGAACGTTCGTGTGAAAGCAAAGCCACACTTGTCCGAAGGCCACGCCTCTTGGTGTAGCAACGTTTTTCTCTTGCATTGCAATCGCGCCGGTGAGGAGAATGACTGCTCAGTTTAATGAAAGTTATAGTTAATAAACAACAGAAATCTTGTGCCGCTTTAAAACAGTAACCTTTGTCTCTCGTTATAAGATAATAAGCATACAAAGTAGATGCACAACTGAGGTCAAAGTTGTTCAGAACAACCTTAAAGTCCTAGTTACCCCTTAAATCTTTGTTAGTAAAATGTAGTGAAGGTGTTGTTGTTGTTATAATTAATGGAAGAGTAAACCTTTATTGCACTAAATGTGTGGTTGAAGAAACTAATTTTTCCTCCTTGTTTCTATCGGTTAGCAGAGTGGCGCAGTGGAAGCGTGCTGGACCCATAACCCAGAGGTCCGAGGATCAAAACCTCGCTCTGCTATGTTGTTCTTTTTTTCTTTTTTTACTTCGGTCGCTCTTGTTGTCAAAGTTAACTTTTGAGTCATGTAAGTAAAAATCGTTGTGCAAGGCGTAACATTTCGAAAAAAAAAATTTAACAATCTGAAAAGTATGGTAACAGTGCCGGATCAACCTGCGAAACGCAAACACGTTAATGCATAAAGATGATCTTTCTACTTTTTTTCAGCTACAGTTATCCGTTCATTTTTTTTTTCTTATGGTGGATAGCTTAGGGTGCGTGCAAACGGACGCAACAACTCCCAACATTGTTGGATGTTACATATTGCGTCCGTTTGCACAACCTGTTGCATGTTGTTGCGTGTTGTTGGGAGTTGTTGCGCAAAGTTTGGAGCCAATAACTCCCAACATTTCTGTTGTTTCATGATCGCCGAAGCGTAGCACAACAATGTTGGATCCGTTTGCACAGCTCTTCTAACATTTTTGGGGCCACGCACGCTCATTACAAAAGGTTTCCAACGTCTGAGGGGCTCTATCCTTCCCACGATGCAATGCAGGCCCCAACATTGTTGGGATATGTTGCATCCGTTTGCACACCACTGCCAACACGGACGCAACAACTTCCAACATTGTTGGCCCAGTAATGTTGAAAGTTTTTACGTCCGTATGTAAGAAGCTTAAACGGAAAAACCGTTAAGGATGGGTGACATTTGTCTCTAAAAATGTTGGCGAGAACGCCAGTGTCATTTATATGTGATCGTTTAAGGGAAGCTTTTTTGTGTGATAAATGATTTGTATCCAGGGTTTTCAAACCTATTAGGTATCAAATGTTGTAACTGCCGTAAAAAGCAAAAACTGTATCCACTACCGTAATCGGCAGTATTCGAACTTGCGCGGCTTGACCCCAATGGGTTACTAGTCCATCGCCTTAACCACTCGGCAATGACTACTTCTGTCATATCACATTCTAAAAATTAAATATTTTTGCCCATTGTATTGTACAGTGAAAAAAAATTGAAACAAAGCAGTCCTTGAATGAAACTAAGAAACTGTTGCTCTCTTTCTAAAAGTACAGTGGCACCCCGTTAACACGGTCACTAATGGGCCAAAAAAAAAAAATTGGCCATAGTAACAGGTGACAGGTGACCGAATTAACGAGGGTTTTTTCTTTACAAGAAAGTGTATGGCTATTTTGCCGTGCGGCCAAAAAAAGGGGCCGTAGTAAAGGGGTGATCGTATTACCGAGGTGGCCGTAAGGCGGGGTTCCACTGTAATTGTAACCAACCATCCACACAAAAGCTGTTTAATGTCCTGCTCGGGTCAAGTTTTTTTCCAAATGTTCTCTGGATATTTATTGTGAGTAAATTGACAGTTGCCTTCTCTCCATAAGTGTTTGCCATTTTGAGAATTTACAAAATTTTTTT